TTTGTTAGTATTTAAATAAAAATAAAAACTCTTACTGCACTGCTGAGTGACTGTCTCCTGCTCGTCAAATACACTTTGACCCTCTGCTAACTTGCACATGACAAATATAACTGAAGCTAATGAGCCAAAATGTTAGGCTCAGCCTGGCAGTGTTATATCAGGATCCTCAGACTGAGGAAGAAACCAATGGCTGCACCACAACAATGGGGAAGTTTAACTGCAGCTGAGAGTCTGTTTAGCTGACATGCAGAGGCCTTAGAAGGTTCAACTCATCACGAGAGTTTTTCACAAAACAAACGATCTACATAAGAAACAAGTAAATAAGTACAGTTAAGTACACGGGGTTTTGAAAAGTAACACTTTTCTTTTTTAAATATCATTTTGCTTCTTGAGGGAAACCAGGAGAAGGCTGAGGTGTGCCGGGTGTGCCAGAAAACTGCACTGAGTGGTTCGTTTAAAAGTGACATTTTTGGCTCTGATTGTTGTCAGTCTGTCAGCAGAGCAGGGATCAGTTTCAATCTCATCAACATTGATGTTATTCTGACTGCAGAAGAGAGCTGTGGGGTTTTAATATGACCGGAAACAGCTTCACTGTCGGTGTTTATGGAGAGACGCTCGCCTTTGACCTGCAAACGTGTGTTGGACGTCCAAAGAGTTTTTGACCAGACTGTAGTACATGTTGGTTTTACCTATCACAGGATGTTTCTTGTATTAAACCTTGTTATGAGACCGTCTTCATAGGCCACCGGTTGGGACCGAACCAGCTGATACTAATTTGGAAGATTGCTTTCTAATTACTGACAGATTTACGACAGTGTCGTGACTTTTCGCGCCTCCCTTTCTTCGTATGTTCAATACTTTTTCCCTGCGTCGTTTCTCATTATTGCACATCTGCGGTTTGATTTCGTTACATGTGTGGACTGGATGGGTTGCACCTGCATCTGGTCTATCACTGCCTACAAATACTGTTAGCATTGCACTAGGTCAGTGCATGAGTGAAACACGCAGCGTTAGCATGGAGAGAAAAAAGGAAAGGAGATGTAACAGCAGCACCGTTGTTGCTGCGCGGACTGTTGGTCGTTGTTGAGGGCAGATGAGCACCGGTGTGACGTACAGAGGCAGGCAGACGTGTTCTGTACTGGGTCCCAG